TGCCTGTACAGCTTCAGTTGTCCAAAACACCATTTTTTGGTGATATCCCAAATCAAGGATCAGCTGGCGCTGATCAGATTGTAGCCTCAGTTCTTTTGGAGCTGAGACAGAGCAGTAGGACGTCCCAAGTGTGCTAAAGAGGGACATTTGCATTTTTCAGCCTTCATTCCAGTGGGGTGCCAAACAAAAAGTTTCAGGGAGCTCAGACAGCCGTAATTTCCTTTTACTGTAGTGTTGGAGTCTGGAGCTCTGCTTACTCAAGGCACAAAGCAGTGACAACAACAGCAATTGTGATGATGCCAAGCAGCAATAAAAAAGAGAGGTTTTGGTCCAGGCTTAACCCAGGAGAAACATCTGCCACCGAGCTGGATGAGCACCCTCACTGAACACCCTTCACAACTTTGGGAATGAGTCTTGAAAGGGATTTAGAGAGTGAATGGCTGCTTTTGTATCCTGGAGGCAGAGCAGAGCCAGCAGCCCTGCGGACTGTGGTGTGTGTCAGAAGATAAATGTCCTGTCAGAGCTGGCAGGGACTGAGGCTGCAAACAACACCTTGGGCCACAGCCAGCACTGCCTGGAAGCCATTGCTGCTTCCTCAGGAGCCATCCCATGGGATGGACCACCGGCATGAGTCCAGGATGGATCACAGGCATGAATCCAAGCGTGGCTCATGGGGATGTTGCTTCTACCTGGAAGTTGAGAGCAGCTTGGGGGCTGCATCCCCAGGGATGGAGCCATGACCTTTGGGTTGTGCATGTCCCTGCTCCTCCATGGGGACAGGGAGTCAGTCCAGGGATGTTTCAGCACAGCTGCTTTCCCTGAATTTGGCAGCTGGTGCTCTCTGGGAAAATGTGTCACGTTTGGAGCCAGCTGCAGACAGGGAGCAATTCCCCAGGGGAAATTCTCCTGGCTCCAGACACTGCCATCATCCCTGCACAGTGTTCTGTGGCTGAGCAGTGGGGAATGCAGCCAGGAGAATGTCACCTCTCCTCCTGCCCCTGCTCACTGTCCAGGATATAGGGACAGGGATGAGGAGAAGGTTCCTCATCCCATTCCCTGCCACGGCAGTCATGCTCTCCTGATATAATGCTGTTTGTGGATGGATGAAAATCATTCAGTTTATTGCATTTTCTGTTAAAACTCAAATCCTGGAGCCAGGGGTCTGCTTTGCCTCCTTGTTTGCTGCCTCTGTAGGGTGGCCTGGACTCTCCTGAGGAACCTGGGCTGTATTTTGCCTATCAAATAGGCATAATTTGCTTTCCATCCTTTTCCACACCAATATCACCTTCAAGAGCTTTGAGGACTGCAGGTGGGCAGGAGGTCAGTTGTGAATATCCATTCCATCCCCAGCTGGATTCCGTAGCCTCATCCAGGGAGTGGATTCAGGGCAGGTGCAGAAATTACTCCTCATTAGGTAGAATAAGAAGCAGCTGGAGAAAATCCCTTATAAGGATTGGGTGAGCAGAGTAGAAGGAGCCCCATTGTGCTGGGAGAAGTTGGTGAGTTGCTCTTGTTTCTTCTGGGATTGAATTCCAATCATCAAACTGAAAAAAGCTTCCAAGACCATCAATTCTAGCTCTTCCTGGGCAAAGTGAGAGATGGTTGTGGAACGAGAGGAACAAGTGAAGTCCTTCACTTGTGGCAGTCGTGCTCTCCTGATAAAATGCTGTTTGTGGATGGATCAAAATCATCCAGTTTACTGCATTTTCTGTTAAAACTCAATTCCCGGAGCCAGGGATCTGCTTTGCCTCCTTGTTTGCTGCCTCTGTAGGGTGGCCTGGATCCACTCTTGATAGGCTGTATTTTGCCTATCAAACACATAAATAATTTTCTCTCTATTCTTTTTTACACCAATATTGCCTTCAAAAACTTTGAGGACTGCAGGTGAGGAGGAGATCAGTTGTGAATATCCATTTCATCCCCAGCTGGATTCCATAGCCTCATCCAGGGAGTGGATTCAGGGCAGGTGCAGAAATTATTCCTCATTAGGTGGAATAAGACGCAGCTGGAGAAAGTCTTATAAGGACTGGGTGAGCAGAGTGGAAGGAGCCCATCATGCTGGGAGAGGTTGGCAAGCTGCTCTTGTTTCTTCTATAATCAAATTCCAATCATTAAGCTGGAAAAAACTTCCAAGATCATCAAATCCAGCTCTTTCTGGGTAAAGTGAGAGATGGTTGTGGAGCAAGAAGAACAAGTGAAGTCCTTGTACTGCAGGTAGGGAGAAAAGTCACAACTTTCAGTCTTTGCTGCAGACTTTCAGTGTTGCATACCAGAATATCTGTTTTGTCAGCTGTAGCACTGTTACTGTCTGGAGTGGGTGGTTAAAAATCTTCATTATTGATGGGATTTAAGCAGCAGTGGGAGGATAACTTGGTGGAGAAAGTCTGGGTTTGTTTGACCCTGCTTTGTTGGACAGAACAATTGTTTTTTGGACAGCTGGAGCAGTGTTTGTTGTGATTTTTTTTTCACCCTAAACACATCCCAGCTCAAGGGCTGAATGTTTGCCCTTCTATACCTTTTTCACACAGTTGTAGAAAGGGAAATACAATTTTCCTGCCTCTTGCTGTGGTGATCAAAGATTCCCTGTGAGGTTTTCTGCTCCCATTTGCCTCCCTCCCACGTGTTTTCCCACTTGCAGCAATTTGCAGCTCAGCTGTTATGCTCAAGGCTCTCCCTGGAGAGCTGAGGCTCCATTTGCCTTTCAGGGCAAGTACCCACCTGGAAATAATCATGGAAACACTTATTTTGCACACAAGTCCCTCAAAAATCCAGGCAGTTCTTGGAGGGAATCAAGACTCTGTTTTATGAATCCATTTAATATTGTCCTGTGGAGAGCAGAGGGAGGTTTTTATTGACCTCAAAATCAAATCTTGCTCTCTTCTTTTCAAAGAAACTCAAATATTTGGCTGTTTTGTCACTTCTGGCTGTTTTGTCACTTCTGGCTCTTTAGGGGAATTCTGGCCTGCCATAAACCCCCCTAAATCTGGGATATTGATGATGTAATTCCATGATATATTTGAAGTTTGTTTTGTCAACAAATTGCTTTTCCTATTATTTGCTCTATTGCAGAGTTGAAATTTTAGGCTTTTCTCATGGTAAGAGTTGGAATTTAAAAACTTAGGGCCTATTTGTCTGTTTTTTAATGGATTTGGTCTATAATAGATGCCTTTTACTACCCTCCCTTGGATTTCCTAGGCTTAATTATCTGTTAAAAAATACTCTGTGGTGAGTTCCCCCCAATTTGGGAGTTTAGGGGGCAAAGATCTGACCACTTGTCCAAGGCTGTTATCTTCTTCCATAAGTTCATTCCTCATTTGGGAATGCTGGAATTGATGTAATGAATTTTCATTTTATGCTTAGGCATTGCTGTCACAGGATTCCTGTCCAGTTGTTTGCTTGCTCCTGTTACAAAGTGGGCCCACATGCTCCCAGTACTAAAAATGTTCTTCCTAAGGAAAAAAAGCTGTTGTTGAGAGCATGAAAGGTGATATTTTGTGCATTTATCAGTCCAGATTTGTCTTATCATTAAATAGATTCAGTTGAAATTATTTTTTTAATTAAATGGAAGGGTTGGCCTGGATAATTTAGCCTGGCCATGGGTGCTTCCAGGGCCAGCCACAGCTTCTCTGGGCCATGCTGTATTTTGGGTTAAATTTTTGTTGTGTCTGTGCGTTTCCTTCAGCATCACCTGGGAATAATGATGGATCTCAGGTTTTTATGGAAAAGAGAGGATGAGAAACCAGAGTATTGCAAATTACAGGCTGGTTGAGAGGATAGGAGAGACATCTGGAGGTCCTCTGGTTCAGATTGCCATGGAGCATGTCCTGATGGCTTTTGGGTCTTTCCAAGGAGGACAATTGCACAGCCTTCTGGGCTGTAAGGCAGTGGAGATACAGCTTCCAAGTCAGGATACTCCCTGCAGCTTTGGAGACCCAAACTCGTGTCCCCCGTCCTGCTCCAGGCTGGCTTAGGTGCAGTCCTGTGGGCCCTGGCTCAGGGGGCTCTTTATGGCTGCATCACCTTCCCATCCCAGCCTGGCCTGGGCAGCCTTTGCTGAGGGAATTGCTGCCAAACAAGGGACCAAGTCACCTTTTTGGCTGAAGAAAAGCTACAAATTTGGCTGTGAAACCACCAGGAAAGTGTTCAGAAACACCCTGAAAGCTTGGATGGGTGCTCATTGCTGCAGAGCTCTGCCCTCTGTCCATCTAGGTGTGGTTTCACTCTTCTATCTGTGGCTGCTTCACTGATCAACATTTTTAGGGTTGCAATTTATTTCTGGGGGGCTGAAGCAGACCAGGAAGGAATATCACTGAGCAGGTTTGTGGCACACAGGAATTCCAGTGGATCCTGAATGGATCCTGTTGCAGTAAGGTAGAAAAATCATAAAGAAAGGCCTCATAAAGTCAGACCTGCTCCTAAAATCAGTGGCTGGCCTTGCACTTTACAAGTTCCCATGTGAAAGTAGTCCTGGTGTGAGCAGTTCATGAACATAACAATCTATTCCTGGGTAAAAAACAGCCAGCACCTGTATAAACTGGTTTTGCACCATTAGATAGTTTTCGTTTTTCTATCTCTCACAAACAACTTTTCCTGCATGTACACACTGGGGGTTTGAGTTACCAATCAATACAGAATAACAACTTCTTAATTACCAATAATTGGTAGGAAAGCTACTGACCAATTAAAGTCTCACACAAGGTCTGTAAAACTGTCTAAAAAGGAGTTATGTGATTAAAGATGGGTCTTTTTCCACCATGAAGAAAATGGAGTCCATGTGGTTTATTCCTGTAGATTACCAGCTTTAGGGATGGCTCTCCAGAGGTTTATCCCAGTGGTCTCCCATCATCACTAAATGCATCCTGCAGATTTCCATGATATTTTTTCCCAGTTCAGCCCCAGAGCGTGAGGGAGGAATCTCAGGAAGGCAGAGGGGAGGAAAGCAGCTGGATGTGTGCTCTGTGTAAAGGGATCCATTAATGGAGGTTTTTTTTCTATTGCAGCGTTCCCACATTCCAGAGCCTTCCCGAGGAGATCCTCAGTAAGCTTGCAGATGTCCTGGAAGAGGTAAGAGCTTTGAATATTGAGATTTCACAAGCTCAGAACCTTCTGCTGGCATTATCCAGCCTCTTCTTTTTCCCCCCAAAGAGCAGCTCCCCAGTTTGGCACCCCTCGGGGCCATGAGAGGAGTTGTGGGGAAAATGAATCCAGTTTTGAACAGGGTTTATATATTTTTAATTGGATTTTTATCCAATCAATCATTTCCTGTGGTGTCCAGAAGGGAGTGAGCTTCTCCAGCCTCTGGGTGAGTGGTGGGGAGGAGGGGAATGTGAAAAGTGTCCCATCAAATCTGAAATGAGACCAGGTTATGTTGCAGGGTATTTTAAAAGGGTTGTGGAAAAGGTGCTCTGGGAAGAATTGCAGCAGTGTTGAGATGTTGGGCTGGAGTTGGGCTTTGCCTGCCTGCCTTTAACTGGGGTCTCATTAGGGTCAGCCTTTTAATAAGTCTATTTAAAACAACAAAGAAATCACCCACAAAACACCAACCTAAACAACCTAAACCTCTGGAAAAAAAAAAAAAAACACAAAAAACCCTAACCTGCACCCTACCAAAAAAACCCCAACCTTGCCATATAAGCAGATATAAAATAGATGTAAAATACTTGGGTCATATCAGTCTCCCCCCATATTTTATTCCCCCAACACTCCCTTCTGAGCCTGAGGAATTCAATATCCCAGAAAGTCGTTAATAAACCCTTCCAAAAGGTGATTTAAGTGCAGGGAATGAGTGTGTGGCAGTAATTTATTTCATTCCTGCTGGCTTTTCTTCATCCCCGCCTCTCCATCAGGGAAGATGTTCCCATGGATTTGGAGCAAAAGCGCTGCTGACATCGGAGTTGATTTGAATTCCTTTTTTTTCTGAGCTTTGCTGGGGTGTTGTTCCTTCTCTGCCTTTTTATTTAGTGCCCGGATAAATTCTGTGGCTCCAACAAATCAGCTGTTTGTCACCCTGAATAATTGCATATTCACAGATAAGCTTTACTCCTTTTACTGCCAGGGAATGCTCTGATTTAAGGAAAAAAAAAGGATATGAATTCCCTCTGCTGTAAATTCCATCTGCCTATCTCAAAACCCCACTCCCAACCAGAATTTGCTTGGATCACATCACCAGCATTAAGCTCCTTATCAAGAGTTAAGGAGGAGAATAAAGTCTATAAAACTTTTCCAGAAACACTTCAAGTTTTGTGGCAGCTGGGGGAAAAAAAAAATCTTAATAAATATCAGTGAAGAAATGAGGCACAAAAGCAGCATTTATGGGGAATAAATCTGGATTGTTAGGGTGGATGCTCCCAGTTTTCTGTTTGGAATGAGTGTTATTTTCTCTGGGTTTGTCTAGGACTGAATAGGATGTGTTTTGTATAAATTAAAAATAAGAAGTCCCTCTCAAATCTGTGTATTTAGATATAAACTTCCACCTGGCTACAGCCCCCTTTCCATAGGTTACACCTGTGAAGTATAGGAAAACCCCTCTGGATCAGGGAATTGTTAATATTCCATGGAAAAACGTGCCTGGTGACACACACAGGGATTATCTGGGTGGCACCAACACTGCCAATAATTCCAGTCTTTATGGATAATTGCACTTAGCAAATGGAATTAAAATGCCGAAGGGAGTAGGATGAGGAGTCTATTCCTGGCATGGCTGAGGAGTGGGATGAGCTTTTGGTGGGCCTGGGCAGTGCTCAGAGATCTGGGCTGGCATTTCCTCCTCTCCCTCTTTCCCCCTTGCTTCATTTTTATTTGGGTTTTGTGGCACAAAATCAGGATTTCTTTCCCATCCTTAAGTTGCTTCACATTCTGGCAGTGCTTTTCCTCTGTAAGGTTATTCCCTGTGCCATTCAAATGTAAAACTTGTAGGATTTCCATCTCAAATCAGGTGTTCAGATACTGATGGATGTAATTAATGTCGCTTGACCTCTTCTCCTCTGAAGTCACTTCCAGGTACTCATGACTTTGTAATTTTCCATTTGATCTCACATTCTGCATTGTGCCTACAGCTGATTCTTCTAAATTTTGTTCCCCAGCTCCAAATTCCTACTCCTGTTGAAAGGAAGGATCACTTTGCCTGGATGTCAGGGATGGAGCTGTTACCTGCCTGAACATCTGTCCCAGCTCCACAGAATTGGGGTTTTTCAGGGAAAGGGAAAGAGGCAGGAACTCAGAGAGCTGGAGGCAGCTGGAATAACTAATCCCACACTGGTTTGGGGTGGAAGGGACACTAAGGATCACCCCATTCCATCCCTTCCATGGGCAGGGACGCCTTCCACTGTCCCAGGCTGTTCCAGCCTGGCCTTGGGCACTGCCAGGGATCCAGGGGCAGCCACAGCTGCTCTGGGCACCTTGTGCCAGGGCCTGCCCACCCTGCCAGGGAACAATTCCTAATTCCCAGTGGTCCCCCATCCATCCCTGCCCTCTGGCAGTGGAAGCCATTCCCTGTGTCCTGTCCCTCCACCCCTTGTCCCCAGTCCCTCTCCAGCTCTCCTGGAGCCTCTTTAAGCTCTGGAAGGACTCTGAGCTCTCCCTGGAGCTTTCCCCTCTCCAGGTGAGCACCCCCAGCTCTCCCAGCCTGGCTTCATCCCTGGAGCAGCTCCATGGCCTCCTCTGGATTTGCTCCAGGTGCTGTTGGTGCCCCAGACAGAATTTAAAGTTCTATGGCTGCAGATGCAGAGGAGGAGATGGAATTAAGGTCTCGTTGGCATTTTCAACCCAGGCCTCTTCATCTGCATTTTCGAATCCTGTTCCTTGGCTGTTTGGGATTTAGCCTGGTAATCCATGGGAGATGTTGTGTGTAGGAATCTGAGCAGCTGGAGCAGCGGAGACGGTGACAAAGGCACTGAGATTTGCTTACAAAACCCTGCAGATCAGTTTTTTGTGCAGATAATGTCAGGTGTAAACCACGTCACGTGGATTTGCCTCCTTTGTTGTGTATCCAGAGTTTGAGACAGCTTTGATATTTATGTGTGTATGTGACCATGCTATTTTCTGAAAAATCCCTTCACCAGGATTTCTTCTGGGAAGCTTCAGTTTCTCCCTGTTTTGCTGCTTTGGAATGTGGTCTGGAGATTGTTTATCCAAACATGTGAGTTGTTTTTAATTAATGACCAATCACAGCCAGCTGTGTTGGACTCTGAGTCAGTCACAAGTTTTTATTGTTTATTCTTGTTAAGCCTTCTGATGTCTCCTTTCTCTCTTTAGTATAGTTTTAGTATAGCATTCTTTAATATAATATCACAAAATATTAAATCAGCCTTTTGGGAACTTGGGAGTCAGATTCTCATCTCTCACCTCATCCTGGGGACCTCACAAACACCACATGTGTGTATATTTATGGATTATTGTTGGATGTATAGAAATTTGAAGTGCTCCAGGCCAGGCTGGACAGGGCTTGGAGCAGCCTGGGACAGTGGAAGGTGTCCCTGCCTATGGCACAGGGATGGACTTCAAAGTCCCTTCCAATCCAAACCATTCTGTGATTTTCTGACAATACTTTGTAACACATTGAAATATATATTTATCTATCATAATTGTGGTATAAATAGATATTTAAATTTAAATCTGGCTAATTGCCCTAAATCCAGCTGTAGAGCACTTGATTAACTCATCCTCAGTTAACAGAAGAGCAGCCACAGCTTGGAAGTGCTGGGAATTGTGGTATTTTCGGGATACCCCATTGTGGCGGGGAAAGATGAATCTGACTCCATGTTCTTAGAAGGCTAATTTATTATTTTATTATATCATATTAAAGAATGCTATACTAAACTATACTAAGGAATAGAGAAAGGATGATTACAGAAGGTTAAAAAGATAATAATGAAAAACTTGTGACTCTCCTCAGTCTGACACAGCTGGCTATGATTGGTCATTAAGTCAAAACAATTCACATGAAACCAATCAAACATTGACCAGTTGGATAAACAATGTCCAAACCACATTCCAAAGCAGCAAAACACAGGGAAAGCAATCAGATAATTATTGTTTTCATTTTTCTCTGAGGTTTCTCAGCTTCCCAGGAGAAGAAATCCTGGCAAAGGGATTTTTCAGAAAATATGATGGTGACAGGGAATGCTGTTCCCACATCTCCCAGTGTGTGTTTTGGGAATTCTTTCACTGGAAGCATTAATATTCAGAATTTTAATTTATTTGAATGCTCTGCTGAGATCCAAGTGCCAGTGATGTGTTTCCTGCAGCCCCAGGCTGCCTGGCTTTGGCTCCCAGTGAATCCCTGGACAAACAGCAGAGCCAGACTGAGGGGAGAGGCAGAGAAATGTGCTGAACCCCACTAGCAGAGGCTGCCAGGGATGAAAACTCTTCCTGCAACTCTGGATGCTGAAATTTGGATCCCAGCTCCTGTCTGCAGCCACTTCAGCAGCTCAGTTTGTGTGCTGAGTGTCACTTGCCAGCCTTTGTCTTGTTCCTTCCTTTCATTTTAATTTTCTCATTTTAATTCCAATGAAAGACTGAATTTCAAAAGGCACAAATATTAACAAAAATAAAACACAACCCAAAATTCTTCCCTGCTGCTCATGGAGCTCCTGTTGTGGCTCTTGGTGGAGAGTGGGATCTTGGAGGAGATTTCATGGCTTAATTCAGCCTTCAGAGCTGTCCTGGGCCTTTAAGCATCCTTCCTGCTCCACACTGCCCAATTAGTATGGATCAGGTGGCCTTGGGATGCCTCTGGTTAATTAACAGAGGCTGAACACAGTCCCGCCTTTGTGGGATTGTGTGGCAGCAGTGAATAGGAGAGGGAAAATGTGCAAAATTAATTAGCTTTCCATAGAATCTGTGGTTTTTAGGCTTGTTTAGGAGTGTGGATGGCTCTTGGATAAAAGGAATCAGGTCCCTGGTCTGTCCTGCAGGCTCTGCCAGCACCAAGGCAGGTATTGATGTGAAACAGAGCCAGAGATCAGATTTGAGGGAGAATTCAAAATAAACAGGGAAGAGTAAAAGGTTTTGGTTAAGAAAAAATAAGTTAATGTTGTTATTGATATTTTTTTATCAAAAGAAGC